TACAGCAATATACATGCTATGAGGGGTGTTGCAGACTGTGACACAGTTCTTCCTGACACTAAGTGTTCTTTCTTAGATTTATTTTATCATGGGAACACAATTTAGACGCTTGTAAAAGTCCATACTTAAATTTTGTGGAGAGTGTCAGTCCAAAAGAAAGCTATTTAAAACTGATCTCTTCTTCATGGAATATTATTCTTCTCTAAAAATTATTCTGTTCTTAGCACTCACAGTTGTCCTCTCTAGTTGATAAATTTAACAAATAAAATCTGTGCAACTATTTCTTGATTGCATATGATCCACAAATCTTCTGTTAATGAAGTATATTCTGCTTTGGTGATACTGTATTTTCTCCTGTGCTTACTCCACAAGATGAGGACATTATAGTTATTTATAATTACTGGAACCATGACAATTATGAATGCAAAGTAGATAACAACTTTAGTAACTCAGGTGCTATCACTCACACAAACACACCTTTCATGGATCTATTCTATTAAGTCACATTTTTAAAAAGTTACTGTATTCACATTTTTCTAAACATCTTGGCTGGGTTTTTTTATTATACCACTTAAATATATCTATCCTTAAAAAGTACCAACTACATTACCACTTATTTGAACAGTGTTATAAAAGTAGTTATTTGGTATAAGTGACACTGGATCTAGTTGTATCTCAATGGAGGCCCAATTTCCTATTGCTGTTTGTCCATGAACAGAGAGATAACATTATTTAGTTAGTGCCTTCAAAGCCTTCCATGACAACTCTGTTTTCAAATTATTTGCATCCCCTCCCTCTGCTGCTAGTACCTTTTGGTCTGTTTTGGTGTGTTTAAGTCAGTCTTGACTCCTGTGACTACATGGACAACTCCATGCAGTTTTCTTGGCAACATTTTTGAAAGTGGTTTGTCATTGCCTTCTTCCTAAGGCTAAGAGACAGTGACTGGCCCAAAGTCACCCAGCTGGTTTGATACCTACAGTAGGATTAGAACTCTCAGTCTCCAGGTTCTAGCCTGGTGTATTTAATCATTAAACCAAACTAGCTCTCCCTCTAGTCTATTACTTTATTCTTTTCTCTCTTTTTTTGTATTTTCAAAAAAATATGCCATCGCTGTAGAAAAAGGTTAATCGCCATTAATCACAGATGCGGCAGATTACTATATTGAGAGGAGTATAAATTCAGCAAAACAAGAGAAGGGAGTACAATTTTTTTGGAAGATCTAGATAAACTCTAAAGCTGATCAAATCAAACTGTTTGTCCTATAAACCAACACTCAGATAAGCAGGAACCAGCACCTAATCACAAGAAGCACCAGACAACAGCCTGCCAATCAAAGAAGAAACATTACCACCAATCAACAAATCCAGCCCAAACCCACACAATGCTGGTAGGACAAGGTGTTATACACAAACAGCCAATAAATTTCACTTCCCCATGTCAGAGTACTGACAGAGTCGTCTAGTGTGGTAATGAAACATATACAAGAAGAAAACTCTTTATCAACTAGTCATTGCTCAAAAGTTGTAAATATGAAAAATGAGCCAATTTAGAGTTATTAATATTCATGCAACTGAGCAACTGCAGAGGAGGAAGTTAATTCCAATGTAATCCCGGTTCAGCCACCATGAGCAGAGATAGCATCACTCCCAAGCAACTCTTTCCATTTCCAGCCCTTGAAATATGAATAATCACAATCACTACTTCCATTTGTGTATTAGGTGTTTTGTTTCCTTTTTCTCCCCAACCTGAGAAGTACCTACAGGTAGTCCTTGCTTAACAACCATTCATTCAGCGACCATTCGAAGTTACAGCGGCACTGAACGAATGGTATCAATGCCTGTTCCCTGAAGTTACAGCTGCTGCAGTGTCCCTGTGGTCATGTGATCAAAATTCGGGTGCTCGGCAGCCCGCCTGTACTTCTGACTGCAGGGGCACTTCAGCTCCCCCCCACCCATCTTATCCCCCCATCTCTGCCCTTTTGGTTACCCTGCACAGCAGCATTCCTCAGCAGTGGCAGCAGCACTAGGGCTGAAGTAGAGGCCTAGGGCCTTCAGCAGTCTCAGGCAGCTGCCACTACCCCCGGGCCTCTACTTCAGCCCTAGCACCGCCGCTGCCACTGCCAAAAAGTGCTGCCTCAAGCCCTGCGCCGCAACCAGCCACCCCAGCGCCATAGTGCAAAGCCTCAGCCACCCCAGCCGCCCTGCACTTTGCTGACCTTCGCCCCCTGCCACACCTGGCCTGCTCCTGTGTGAGGCAGCTGCTGGCCATGCCAAGGTCTTCTTCCCAAGGTCGCTCACACTGTTCTCGCAATGCTTCAGAAGGCCTCAGAAGCTTTCTAAAGGCTTTCCAAAGCATTATGAGAACAGCATGGTGCAATTTGGAGAACGGCAGGCAAGGTTTTCTCACGATGCTTTGGAAGGCCTCAGAAGCTTGAGGCAGCTCTTGGCGGCAGTGCTGGGGCTGAAGTACAGGCCCAGGAGCTGGGGCAGCCAGCTGAAACTGCTGAAGGCCCCAGGCCTTTACCTCAGCCCCAGAGCCATCTGCACCGAGGAGTGCCGCTGTGCAGAGTGACCAAAAGGGCAAAGATGGGGGCAGACAGGCTGGTGGGGGGAGTTTAACAGGAGGCAGAGGAGGCAGTCTCTTACCTTACTGAGGCTCAGCGCTGGGAGGGACCAAGCCGGGAATGGCTTGGATGGGGGTGGGTCCTCACCTAACGACTGGTAGGATTCAGTTCATGACAGCAATGGGGACTGTCAGGATTGTCATTGCTAAGCAATGCGGTCATGTGACAGCTCGCTTTACAATCACATCGCTTAACGATGGAAATTCCAGTCTCAATTACCATTGTAACTTGAGGATTATCTGAACTAGCAATGGATGGGCGTGGAACAGCGAGAGGTTCCTTTTTACCTTTGCCTGTGCCCAGATCTGCAGCAAATTGTGAAGGGAGTAATGTCGGAGGCACAAGAGTCAGGGGTTTCTTCTCTCTCCTTCCTGTTTCAATCAATCAAAGCTATCCATCAGTCTAGCAACAGACCACACAACTCAACCTTGTTATACAGATTATTTTTCACTTGCAGAGCTTGAAGCACAATAAACCCAACAACAGTCTTAAACCTAAATTACTTTCAACATGCAGAAATATCATGGACTGCAGCCATTTCCAAGCTTCTTCTGTCTAGTTGGCCACTGATCCAAAGAAAATAACCCAATTCTGTTAAAACAGAGGAAATAAATTATTTTCTTTTAATTGTGTTTTAGCACCTCATGAGGCTTGCCCCCCAGAAAAATATGCCGCATGGGAATCTGCTGGAGAGGTTTTATACAATGGAGAGATGAACCCACTTGTTTTCTCTTTAAAAGGCAAGGCTAAGCAATCAGGGAGAAGATCATGCATCTAGTCCAATCATCTTTAGATTTGGGATAGCGGAAAGAAGAGCAGAAGCAGCTTCTACTTATAAAAGACTAAAGTCTGAGGTTAGTGACTGAGTAATAGCCTTTCAATAAGGTTTTCCTGTTAGGGTTAGGCAGCAAGCTATCCTTGATTACTGTCTAGCAGGGCTGTGGATATTTCAAAAATCATTTGGAGGAAGTGCTTTGGACCTCATGCAAACGAAGTATCTTTACATTATTCATTAAATAGCTGGATTTCTTTCAGGCTTCTGTGTTTTTAGCTGCAGCATCATTTTTTTCAGGCTCCCACAGAAGCCTTAAAAGTTTAGCTACTTTACTGAGTTGCAAAGAGGAGGTGAATTCATGTGAGGGCTAAAGCTCTTTTTCCAAATCATTTTCAATGGGTGCACAGCCCTACTGGGCAGGCAAGAAGCCAGAGGCCATGTTGGAAGGCAGTAAATATTCTTATCACAGTATAATCAGCATCCTGAAAAGAACTTTTTACAAGGCAGGAACTAGCTAACTTTAAAGAGAAGGTGGTTCAGAGCTTCTTTTAGGCCACATACCTACTTAGGTTAAAGCTGACCAAGGATAAATCTCCTACCTCTATTCTTCCAGAAACCCTTGCTGCAAATTCTTTATTTGGGTTCTTAACACAAACTCTTTAAGAACTCTACCTTGTGGTTTTTAGCTAAATCACAACAACTTGCAGCTGCAGTCTCTGTGCAACTGGTTCATAGATAGTCTAACACAAAATGAGCACATTGCTTTTAAGTTCAAGTAAATAACATTCCAAAAATCAGGAGGAAAGAAAGTGTCTCCCTGAACTCACTATCTCTATCTGCAGAAAAAACATTGGAGCTACAGTACTTATAGTACATAGGCAGTACTTAGTTCCATCTTCTCTCAAGAAGTATCATCTGCGTTTTCTTCTACATCTGGAAAGATAATCAGCTTATACAGCATCTTTTGGAAGATCATTTTTCTCTAATTACAGGCCTTTCTAGAGGAAGTTTGGTAAAGAGGTATAACTAGGTCCATGTATGTTAGCTTATCAAAGCACTCTGCCTGCCTGAATCTTGTTGTTGCTAATTATTAGCAAACTCACAAAACAGGCAAAGAAAGTAGCCAGGGATTTACTAACGTAATTTACAAATCCTGTTCTCCTTTGTTGTTGTAAGCCATTGTCAGTCATTGTATTAAACTTCCCTACCTGCTTTGCTTAACTAATGCAGTTTGCTGATATTACAGCTTAAGAAGGCTTTACGTATGAGGGTTTTTTAATTTGCAAATGTGACCTCCCATCTAGAATAGCCTTCTCCAACATGGTGCTCTCCAGATGAATTGAGATTATAACTTCCAAATTCCTAACCAGTAGAACCAAAAGCACAATTTAAGCAATAAAAATGTAGCACCAGGAAAATAGTATAAAGAGTATATTCTCTTTAATTATTCATTTTCAAGGAGCTCATCAAATTTCCTTCAAGGACTGTCATGAAGGGTAATCTTGAATTGGGCTTAACAGCGGCTTATCTGCCTCCCAACATGGCTGTCACACATAAATTGGCAATCTTTTTTATGAAAGAAGAGGGGACGGGAAGTTGTACCTGAGCCTATTGAACGTCCAACGGAGTCAGAGGAAAGAACCACTGAATCTGTAACACAAGAGTACAAGTTCATTTTTCCCTTGTCATATAAACCCATACTTGTTAATAAGAGGCTCCTATTTCCTCTTCCTCAATAAAATCAGTCTATGGACTACATGTGCAACAGAGAAATTCTAATCACAATATTAATCTAGCTCTTGCAGTCGGTCAAACTGGAGCAGCCTAGAATTATATCCCTTCCTGGAAAGAGGTAAGCAGTACAAGAAGAGATAGACTGATACAATAACTTGTCTGCTCACAGCAAAAAATCAGTGGGAGCATGTTTGCCATTGCCTTTGAAGAGCTATAAATATTTTATGTGGATTCCAGAAGTACTGCAGCTATTTTAGTTTGTATATGTTTATTTTACATCAAGAGAGCACTGATTGCATTAAATTACCATGTCACAGAATATGTAAATATGTATATCTAAACATACAAATATAAAAGGTATGATGCCTATTCATTGCACATGGTTAAAAAAATAATGTATATTTTGGAGGGGAATGAATGGGATCCTTTTCTGCAGCAAAAAGCTATAAAACTTCTTAAACATTGTACAAACTTCTTCTCATAAACAGTGTTAGAATATAATTATTGTATTTCCTAAGACCAATCATTAAGGGAAAAGTTGACCAGTTGCAATATAAGAGAAGGAGCATTGGGTAAGAGGTTATCATGGTGATATAGCGTTATTTATCTTAACAAAATTATTCATTTCCCTTATCATCTGACCATACATTTCTCCACAATGGCTATTATCTTGATTTTATCTCTCCTTATTTCCCAGTACATGTGTTCTTTGCTCATTCAGTTCTATCAACAGCTGTCCACGACATAACTGGGAGTTTTCCACTTTCCCTCTTGATGCTCTTATGCCAGAAACTGTCTCAGAATGCATGGATGAGGTTATATTTCTACATCAGTAAATCTCTCTCAAAAGTTACCTTTTCCAGGAAGCTTTTGGCACAGACTCCAAGTTCCAATATCCTCCAATAAGCAACCCTAAGCACATGTACTGAAATGATCATTACTGTTGCTGTTATTTTAAACACTTCTTAGTGTGATCATAATTCTAATTCATCAAATTACTCTCAATAACAGTAAATGAAAATGTAATTTATGTCATGATTTCCTCTACAAAGGTTATATTTATGTTGGGCTTTTCCTCTAAAGCTTAAGACTCAATTTGTGGTTTCCCCCAATTAAACTTGATTATTTAATATTAAGGAAGTAGAAACTTAAAAATCTACAAGGGATGAAAAATCAGTTTTAACCTTGATGGATCATCATTACCCATGATCCCTGCAATATCATTAACTTTCAGCCTAAATAAAGCCAAGTGCAAGCGCATGACCTGAGGCCCTTATGTCAGCCCCACTAGGTAGACCAGACCATGAAATCAACTCCACAGGATGTCTACAAATACTTTTATTGAGACTGGCTATTAAAGCAAAATTTTGCAGGTTTGATTTTGCTGTACCTCCTCCTTATTCAGGGAATTAGGGAGGTGTATGTTTGAGTCATTTCCAAATGTTATCTGAATGTTTTGGACTTAAAAAATGCTTTAGCCTCTGTTGCCTTGGCAATGAAGTCAGCAAATCTCCATCAAGGTCATCTTCCTTCTACCTTCTTCTCTACACCTTGCTTGTTGTGAATAAATACTAATAACAATCCCTTTGCTGTATTCAGACCAAATGCTTCTTTTTAATATCTGTTTTTGGGATGCAGCTACTATATCAGCTTCATCAGAAGATTCTACTAGCAGCTCCATTCATGCCACAAAGTTAGAAAGGACTTTCCTTTGGTTTGTGTGTGCATGCGCGCACCTTTGAGTCAGTGTTGACTCCTGGTGACTGCCTGGACTAGTCCCTGCAATTTTCTTGGCAAGATTTTGGAAGTGGTTTACCACTGCCTCCTTCCTACAGCTGAGAGAGTGACTGGCCCAAGGTCACTCACCTGGCTTTGTGCTAGGGAAGGACTAGAACTCACGGTCTCCCATTCCCTATGGTGCTTTCACTACTACACCAAACTGGCTCTCTTACTTTTCTCCTAGTCCTCACTGTATTTTTCAAGCAAGCAAGCAAGCAATCTGCATGTTTTATTCAATGGTGCCTTTCAGATGAATCAAATTGGGATATATTGATAGGGAAGGATACCCTGTAAATAGTCATGAGAAACTGGTACAATAAAAGTTGTTCCCCTAACTGTATGATTCTCTCCATATTCTTATTCACAATTTTAAATACATTGGCCAGGATTTCAAGTTAAATTCCCTAAAGAAGCTTATGAAAATAAAGTTCCCCTTTCCATTCACTACCTAACCACTCGGGTCTTTAAAAATAATTAAAATTCATGTCATGGAGGCTCTTCTTAACAATAGGACAAGGGATGTGAAGGTTTACTGGAGGAAAGGGGCAAACATCTGCCCAATTCATGGCAATTTTTCCTATCCAATCTTCCATATCACATTATGTGGATGGGTTTCAGGTTTGAGCATAGTACAGAGATATTATGCACTTGTTGATGGCCTTTGGCAGAGCTGGGACAAGAGTAGTGCAGCCCTGGATCAAGCAAAATAAGCATGTGCTTAGGACCCCAAGGGAAAGAGAGTACCACACTCGACTTTAGCTGATTTTTTAAAATTGTCCTTATCTGCCATGTTTGAATTTAATCTGCATTGTTAAAAAAAACATGTTCTTTGGCAAGGTGAGTAACTAAGGTTTAAAAGTTTGATTTGAAGGTGCCATCAGATATCAATTTGTTTCTGTCTCATGGCGTGACACTTTCGCTTCCGTTGAGGGGCAGCACTGTTAGACTGTGTTTAGGGGATCAGTTGGCCTTAATTCACCCCTGGGGTGCTGCATCTGTCCTAGCTGTTTTTAATCTCTCAGTGGCTTTCAATACCATTGATTGTGGTATCCTTCTGGACTGACTTGCAAGGATTGGGAATGGGAGGCATGGTGTTGCAATGCGATTCTCCTTCTGTGTTTGGTTCCAGTCAGTATTAACTGGGGGAGGGGAGTGTTGCACCTTAAATCCCTGGACTGTGAGGTACCATAGGGCTTGATGCTCTTACCCCTCCTGTTTAATTTCTAGGTAAAACTGCTGGGTGAAATCACCTGCCAACATAGGGTCAGGTATCAGCACACTGATGATATTCAGTTGTACATCTCATATTTGGGCTGACCAAGTACTGTAATGCTGTCAAAGTTTTGTACCAGTGTCTGAAGGCTGTGAGAGTCCAGATGGAGAGGTACAGGTTCAGGTTCAACCCTGACAAGACCAAGTGGCTCTGGGTTCATGGACCTCCCATTCCTGGGGATTTTCCATCCTTCATTCTGAATGGGGTAGCACTCCCCCGATGGAACTGGTGAGCAATTTGTCCTGGACTCACTGTTCCTGCTTGAGGAGCAGGAGAAGCTGTGGGCAGCAAGGCCTTTGCACAAATCTATATTGTGTGCCAATTGCACTGATTTCTGAATCAGCCCTATCCCTGATCAATCAGCCTCGGTCACCTTTCATCTGGATTATTGTAATGCACTCTGCATGGGGCTGCCTTTTGGAAGTTACCACTTGGAAACTTCAGCTGATCTAGAATTCAGCAGCAGTAGTTATGGGCATGCCATGATATGCCCATGTAATACCTCTGTTATATGAATTATACTGATTAGGTTTCCAGCTGCAATTCAAGGTGCTAGTTGTCACCTATAAAGCCCTTCATGGCACTGAGCCTTATTATTTGAGGAATCATTTTTCTCCCATGATATATGCCCATCCAGAAAGATCGGACAGAGTTAGTATGCTTTGGGGCCCATCTATCAAGTAATGCTATCTGATGGGACCCAGGAGGCACCTGCCCTTTGGAACAGCATCTCCTCAGAGATACAAACAGCTTGTCTCTCTTTCAGATGAACCCTAAAGGCAACACTTACTATAAGGTGGTTTTGCTCTTATTGTGTTTGTTGTCTCCCTGTTCAGCCATCTTTTTTTTTTTAATGGGGTTGATTGTTGATATGATTTTCACATTTTTAATCTGTATGTCACCCAGAGTTGCCCTGAGTGGACAGCCTACAAATGTGACAGACAGATAGATAAGGTAGGTCCTCAGATGAGCCAGAGTCTTTTCAGGAGGCTGAGTGGAGAGGGAGGGGGATAATTTTCCTTCTATGATCTTCCTCCAGTTAACTTATCTTGCGGTCAAAATTATTCCCTTGTAAGAAGTCATTTCCCACTTTCTTTTTCTTCATTACATTCAAAAGCAGAAGAAGAAATATTTGTGCATAGAGAAATATATCGTTTAGAATTGTATGTACAGACTGTATGCTGTATTTTGAACAGAGTTCTGAGAAATCACGAAACAACCACAGGTCCCACAGGAATAATATACATTTAATAAGAGTTTGATGCAGCTTGCTTTACATACCACAGGAATAGTATTCTCCAGAATCCAAACCAAACATCGTGAGGCCCTGACATTTATCTGGCAGCTCCTTTCCTTTAAAAAACTGCAGACACTGAACACCATTTCAGATAACTTTTCTTTCAAAACTGAAACGTTAAAAAAAAACCCTCCAGTTTTAGTGAATGTTTAATCTAGGCTATTCCCCATTGGATGCTGGCTTGCAATCAGAATATATCATATAAATTTAATTAATAAATAAATAATAAATAAATATCACTGCCAATTTCTGAGTACCAGGGGAAAAAAAAGGTCAACACCAGATATTTTCTGTGCTCCTGCAGGGCATATATGTACAAATAAGGTGTGTCGTTTGTGGCCAATTTCAGTTCTCAATGGCATTTACAGGCTTAACACCTAAATCAATCAATCAATCAATCAATCTCTCTCTCTCTCTCTATACACACACACACACACACACACACACACACACACACACACACTGTATCTTTAAGT